TGACGCAAGTGGGCACTGGAACGATGTGATCAAGAAAAGGAAAACCCTCTACGATTGACATCTCGCAATCGTTCATGTTTAGAGCAGTGCGCGCGCCTTGTATCGCCGCTGCGCTGCGCTCCTCGCTCTGCCCAACGTTTTGCCGGCCCGTTATCAACGATATAAGTTTGGATGTTTACTAAGTCGTATGCAATTAACACAAAACGACGCGATCACGTACTTGTGCAAGCCTTGCCTCGTCGCTGGTCAGAAAGGGGGTTTCGGAAAAATCACACTCCGCTACGTCGCGGTCGTCACTTCAGGGTTAATTAGCTTTAGCTGATGCTCAGCACTGACTTCTAAGCTGCGCATTATGAATAGGAACGTGCCATGCCACATGGAGACCTTCCAAACACCATTGTGCGGCTTAAAAAAAGTAAAGCTTCCGGCCTCGCCCGTTCATATATTCAACGCCTCCTTGATATATTACACGGACAAGCTAATACGCCATCGTTAAGGCAAAAGAACGCCGCTGAATAAATATTGCCTATCGGCGCAAGTAAGGTTAGAACAAAAACAAAATTTTTCTGGTGCGTCCTGCAGAAAAAAGCGCCCGTGTTTTCTTTTCTTTTTTGGCGCTTCAGTGCAGCATGCATGTGTAATGCGGTGAAGCTCTGAGGGCACGCGCAACTTTATAATATGCGACCGAGCACCTCGACATGATGTTTTTCTCTTTTTTTTTCTACAACCCGCCCTTGTCCAACAAGCAGTCATGCAAACTTGATGGCAATTAAAAAAAGAAACATACCTGGCCACAAGTGCCACATAGCCGTCACATGAAATTGAAATAAAAGCAGGAGTGCAGACCATGCATAGAGATACACTGGAGGATGTTCTAAAGCATAGACCATGCTCTGAATGAAACATAGAGAACTTTGATGCTAGTGTCTGTGGCAGCTGCAACGCACAGCACTTCAGCTAGCATGGCAGGGATGGGTAGTACACGAATGTGTCTAATGTTCGTTCTTTTAGCTCCGTGTGGCCTGAATTTGCTTTGCCACAAGACAAAGTTTAGCAAAGGTTTAAAATCAATGCATAGCTATAAACACAGCCACAAGTGCATGGGAAGCCTGCAAACACGAAAACTAGGCAAATCTGTGAAGTACCCATCATTCCCATGGCAACTAAACGACTGCAGTGCCAGAGTTACTTTTAGGAAACTATGAGACCATAAAAGTCACCCAGGATCTTGCAATTACATCTTGTTTTATTTTGCATCATTTAAAAACAACGCTTTGCTGGTGAAATGTCATTCGAAGTATCACAGGATCATTGCTTGCTTAGACCCCTCATCATCCAACCTTGTATAGGTCAGAGCCAGTCCTTACACATGTACCTGTTCAAATAAACATCCGTGCATATGACTGCCTGATTTGTGCAAGGATTATAAGATGCAATAAGACTTTACAATTCATTGGTATACACTTTAGAAACAGATATTGAATTCAATGCAGCAAATAGTTCAACTGCCTTTTGCAACACAGCATATGCCAGGTAGAAAATGCAGCAAAGGCAAATATTTTCTGGAAATTGTTTTGCAAAGCCTTCACAGGCATGGTGGCAAATATATCGGTTAATGCCAGCAATTTCTATTTTCTGCGAAGCTCTGAAAGCTCTTGCACGAGTTGTCTAAAATGCCTATACACATCTTCAGCCTATGAACTTGGCGTTTCACTGCAATGTAATGTTAAAATCAGAGGAAATAGTAAACCGCACCGCCTGTAAGACTTATAAGCTGTGGTAAAAAAAAAAGCAATATATTTCTTAATTTTGAAGAAGCATTCTGAACAAAATTAGACCAACCGAGGCTGCCACAAGTGGCCTTGAAAATGTAAAAATACTTGCCAACATAAGCTGCTGGTCTAATGTGGAGGCCACGCATTTCAGTCAGCTGTACACATCGGTGCTAAGTCTTTGTAATGCTATGAAAATATTCATAATAGCACCTATAGACACAGCATAATACACCCAGTTTATTATGTCTTTTGGCATTGAGGACAAAAGATAGCTTATTCCTTTGCATACATTTCTAATATTTTTGCAGTTATGAAGATTAGAAGCTTGACGACTGCTGGCATACTAGTTTATGTTTCTCAAAGAGATGTGGACATCTATAAATCCAGAAGCCCGAAATATAAATTTGAAAACGTGCGAGGATATCCAAATGCAGAGCTGTGAAATGTTATGCTCACACCTCTTATTTAATCTCTATACGAAGTTTCGATTCAGCAAGGCATTATACAAGTATCGATGTTCATATGCCTCATGACTGGCATGTGTATTTGCACAAGTTTTTCACTGCCATTCAGGGTTGTTGCAAGTACTGTACTGAGCATGTGTTCCTCTCTCCCCCTAAAATATCCCTGGTGACAGCACTGTTGCCAGCACCATAAATGAAGCATTGCAGGCAGTGACTACAGTGCCAAATGCATGAAACACCTCGACATTGAGGTCTCGTCATACAAACTAGCTAATCTCAAACTTTGCGAATGATTGGGCTACGGCCCAAGTGGTGCAAGGGTTTCTTGCGAGAAGAAAAAAAGTAATAAAAGTGAACTGCTCTCTTAGCCCTTTCAGATACCACCTACGAAGAACTGTATGTACTTGTGTGAAACTCACATTTCAAGGCACTCGATATTCTATTGCAACAAAAATAGTGGCATAACACGAGGTGCATTCAAAAAGAAACCGAACTTGTGCTTTACTGTAGTCTTTGACTTTGTTTCTCGGCCACAAGTATGGCCAAACAAAAAATTTCATCTTGGAAGTGCCGCCTGCTGCCTTAGTCCATATCACAACTATGCGACATCTGGTGGAGGTGGTTTCTTTTATGTTCTGGGCACCCCCATCAAGCCATGAACCCAGCTCCAGTGCCAAAAAAGATACCCGACGCCGACCTTGAGCCTGTAATCTTCAACTTCTTCAAACATTAATGTTTTTTAGATTACTGCATAATTTTCAATAAAGTAGTGGTAATGGCAGTTCATTTCTCCAATCTTACCTCAACACTGTAGCAGCTTGGTTCAGCACGTGGCAAATAGATTTAAACATGCGTAAATTTAAGCAAATGTACGTAAGAAGCTATGCAGACATTTTGCTAACATATTAGGTAAATGTCCTACACAATCGGGTCAGCTCATATAAATAATTAGGTGTTCTTATCACATTGAACTTGATTGATTTGTGGGGTTTAACGTCCCAAAACCACCATATGATTATGAGAGACGCCGTAGTGGAGGGCTCCGGAAATTTTGACCACCTGGGGTTCTTTAACGTGCTATCACATTGAACTTACCTCAGGCACCTCACACTGAATATGTTACTAATAATGCCGATTACAAGTTAGGCTACATACATTGCACCTTCTCAAAACCCCGATATACACTAAAACTACTCCTATATGAAACATTATTACGTCCCAAACTTGAATATGCCTCTTCTGTGCGAGACCCTAGCCACGACAACTTGATTCACTTGTTTGTACAGAATAACTCCATCCGCTTGAAACTTTCTCACTGTAATTGCATTGCTGGTATAACTTCAATGAAATCCAGCCGAAGCCTTGCTTCTTTTGCACCCCCTTGGAAAATATCCTATTTGGCTTCATTTCACGAATTATTCTGTCATACCACCCCGCATGACCAACTAATCCTGAATCCTCAGTACATATTCCATTGCAGTGACCTCGTCATAAGGTTGGCATCGCATTATGCAACTCCCAGTGTTTTCATGTTGTACATTGGTACATTGAAACCAACTACCTGAAGACATGTCACTATTAGTAATTGTTTTCCAATAAACTTTACTCAGTATTCTGTAATTATCCAAAAGAGACTAACTAATATTCTGTATTTACAGGCTGAATTATGTATTGTGTTTGTTGTCCTTACACAGCTAACATTGTGTAATGATGAGTTTATTCTTTGTTTAGTAACTTTTCATGCTGCATTTTCCTTGTCTACTTTGTAACCAGTCCCCTCTATTAATACCGTAAGGATTTCGAGAGTAAATAAAATAAAAATAAATATGCAACTGTATGCTGCAAAACGAAGTTAAATAAAGAGATTAGAAAGTCAATATATTTTGATGTTTCTTAGCCCCTACATATATAAATAAAAAAATCAAGGGGTGTACACAATTGTGTACATAGCGTGTCAAACGGTTGACATTCACCCAACATTCCTTACAAGCACTGAAAGTCGATGATTCAGTCCTTTTTATGCCATCTTAGTCGGACATCAGGGGTTGGCACTCCTTTAAGAATTAGTGGAGTTCGCTTGTTTGGGATTCAACAAAACCAACTTCATGCTTCAAAAACTAACATTTTTCAGGCAAAGTAACATGAAGTATCAACATTTTTAGGCTTGCTCTTGTAATTATTACAGTTCATTTATAATTTTAGTGAAGTAAAAGGTTAAATTATGTGACAGCTTTGTGTTAGTAACAACAACAAAGCATTCAGAAATACTACACAAAGGCAGCTGCTGTCCCTATCACAGTACATGTCCACAATGAGGAGAACGTTAGTATACCTTGTGTAGCACATGTGAGAAAAAGACTCGACAGGTTTTCACACAACCAATGTTTTCTTTATTTTCTGTCCCCCTCGCGCC